AACTCCACAGGGAGGGATATAAATCAGAGGAAACAGATATCCAAGGACAGATTATGAAGAATGGAGATCAGGACTGTCTTTACTGGCCAGAAAATAGCAGTAAGTTTACTGGAGCTGATGTCAGTTCTACTGTGTGGGTCTCTGGATGGTCTGAAACAGGGGAATGAGCCTATAGATGCTTTGACTGCAGCTGGAGTTACCATTGAGGATCCATCGATGAAATGCATCCTGCAGAAAACCCCTATTTTATCTGAATTTTCAATGGATGGTGACTTTGTTATTGGAGGTGTTTTTTCCTTACACAACAAACTGCTCACAGTGACTAATAACTACACCACAAAGCCTGAGCCTCTAAGATGCACAGGGAGGTTAGTAAGAAGGAAAAGTTTTGTAAAAGAGACATAATTGAATGGAAATTATAATTTGCTGCAAGATGTACAGTGAAGATGGGGAAGTCTTAGATTTTCTTATGTTTAAATGTATATAATTATTATTATTAAAAATATTTACAGTTAGGAGAATGTCAGCCAGTACATTCATAAAGTGTTTTTATGAAAGCACATACTAAAATGAACTTTTTCTTGTGTTCTTTCTAAATAATCATTGGTTTTCTGTACCTTTTAAATCCAATTGAAATCTTGGCACATATTTTATGTTACTTTTTCAAGAAAATGTTGCAGTTAGGGCAAATTTTTGTGCATTTTTTTTGGAAAAAATATTTTAAGCACTGTTCCGACAATACTTTCTTGGTTTTGTGTGTGTGGATCTATGTGTTTGTTTACATTCATGGGTTTTAGTTTATTTTGCATCTAAATGTTTTTTCTCATTTGATTGACTGTGCAGACTTCTTGCCCCACAAGTGCATTGCTCTCGCACAATGATCTTGGCCCTTGAGGAGATTAACAACAGCACAGAACTGCTGCCGGGCATTAAACTTGGATATCAGATCTATGATTCGTGTGCTTCAGCACCCGTGGCTGCACACATTGCATTTCAACTTTCAAATGGCCATGATCCTGTGTTTTACAAAGACAGTGATTGTTCCCAATCTGGAGTTATGATGGCTGTTGTTGGAGAAACAAACTCATCGCCATCCATCAGCATGTCACGAATCATAGGTTCTTTTCACATTCCTCAGGCATGTCCTCTGAATATATTGCAAACTAAATTGTAAAATGTACTTGCTGATTTAAATTTGTTGTTCTTTTTCTATTTAAGAGACATTGTCATTTTTATCACTCTAGGTGAGCCACTCTGCCTCTTGTGCCTGCCTGTCAGACAAGAAGCAGTTTCCAACATTTTTCAGAACAATTCCCAGTGATCAGTTCCAGGCTGATGCTTTGGCCAAGCTGGTGAAACACTTTGGCTGGACTTGGATAGGTGCTGTTCGCTCCGACTCGGATTATGGAAATAACGGCATGGCCTCTTTTCTTGCTGCAGCTCAGAAAGAGGGGATCTGTGTGGAGTACTCTGAGTCCATCATTTGGACAAACCCACTCAGCAAGATCCGGAGAGTAGCCAATGTTATCCGCAGGTTTTGAATTTTCAGATTTATCTTTTCTTTTTTGTTTGTTTGTTTGTTTGTTTGTTTTGTCAAATTGTGGGAACAGAAAAAAAAATCTAAAAATCTTTAAAGTTATATCATAGTAGAGACGAACTCAACTAAAAAGTTTGTTTAACATGATTTCATTTTATAAAGTACAAAGGGAACTTTAAGGCAACATTCATGAATTAAATGTTTTTATTGCATGTTTTTCTTCATTGTTGTACACAAAAATAAGCATGTGAATTTTTCATTATTGGTTAGTATAACATAACTCCTGTTACTGTCTTTCCAGATCGACAGCAAGGGTAGTTGTGGCTTTTGTTGCTTCAGGAGACATGAGTGTCTTGTTAGAGGAGCTGGCTTTGGATCCCCCTCCACCTCGTCAATGGGTAGGAAGTGATGGCTGGATGACAGACTTGCTGAGTTTTAGTTTCTGTGAGGGCACTATTGGAATAACTATTCAGCAATCTGTCATCCAAGGGCTCAGAGACTCCCTGCTGGATCTCTCTCCCACTGAAGTAGCGGCCTCCTCGGTGCTTACTGAGTTCTGGGAGGATGTGTTTAACTGCACACTGACAAAAAGTGAGAGCTCTTTTTCAGTTTTGTACAAATTCCCCTTAACAGAAGAAGACATACTGCATCTGTCTATTTTGTTTTAAGGCGCTGACACAGACAAAAGAGTGTGTAATGGAAGTGAAGACATAAAAAAGCTCAACCACTCATACACTGAAGCATCGCAGTTTAGAGCTTCTACCATGGTGTACAAGGCTGTTTATGCAATAGCTCATGCCATTCACAATGCATTGTGTCAGAGAACAAATTTCACCACTCAGTGTGATAAAAACATCAGATTGGACTCCAAACAGGTCAGTTCAGATAAAAAGTAAAAAGTAATTCAAACTTTATATTAGTTACAAAGCATAAAACCTATAAAACATGCAATTGTTTCCTCTCGCATTTTTAATATTTCTTTAGGTTTTATCAGAACTGAAAACAGTAAACTTTTCCCAAAATGGTTATACAGTGTCTTTTGATGCTAATGGGGATCCTGTGGCATTTTATGATCTGGTTAACTGGCAGAAGAGTGAGAGTGGAGCCATCGAGTTGGTAACTGTAGGATACTATGATGCATCACTGCTAAAAGGTCAGGAGTTTCGTATTACCAGGAATATAACCTGGATGGATGGCACAAGACAAGTACAAAGACCAATGTCAAAATTTTCTCAGTGATACAATAAATGACTTCCTGTCACATGTTTACAGAAACAAGAAACAAAATACAAATCATAAATAAAAAAGTGCCATTTACTGTGTCTGACAGGTTCCAGTGTCAGTGTGTTCAAAGAGTTGTTCTCCAGGCACTCGTAAAGTGTTGCGGAAAGGAAAACCCATCTGTTGCTATGATTGTATACCATGTCCTGAAGGAGAGATCAGTAATAAAACAGGTAACAATGTTTTTTTGTTTTTTTATTTGCGTATTAGCATAATTTCCTATGTAAGTACTAACAGCACCCTTTTCGATATTTTTGATGTTTTTTTAGATTCTACTGATTGCTTATCATGTCCTACTGAATTTTGGCCTAACCTGGAGAGAGATACTTGTTTACCCAAACCTGTAGAATTTTTATCCTTTAACGAAGTTCTGTCAGTCATCCTAGCTACTTTCTCTGTTTTTGGAGCCTGTCTGGCCATCATTACAGGAATTATATTCTTTCATCACAGAACAACTCCAATTGTCAGAGCCAACAACTCTGAGCTGAGTTTCCTGCTGCTCTTCTCTCTGACTCTGTGTTTTTTATGTTCGTTAACTTTCATCGGAGCTCCCTCTGAGTGGTCCTGCATGCTGCGGCACACAGCTTTTGGTATCATCTTTGTTCTATGTATCTCCTGTGTTCTTGGTAAAACTGTAGTGGTTTTAATGGCCTTTAAAGCTACACTTCCAGGTAGTAATGTCATGAAATGGTTTGGACCTCCACAACAAAGGATGACTGTGGTGTTTTTGACATTTATTCAAGTTTTGATATGTACTGTTTGGTTGATTCTCAGTCCTCCTTTTCCAATGAAAAATCTGACAACATACAAGGAGAAGATCATCCTGGAATGTGCATTAGGCTCTGCTGTTGGCTTCTGGGCTGTGCTCGGGTACATTGGTCTGCTAGCTGTTTTTTGCTTTGTGTTAGCTGTTCTAGCTCGAAAACTACCTGATAATTTTAATGAAGCCAAGCTGATAACCTTCAGCATGCTGATTTTCTGTGCAGTGTGGATCACCTTCATCCCAGCATATGTCAGCTCTCCTGGAAAGTTTACTGTGGCTGTGGAGATATTTGCCATACTGGCCTCCAGTTTTGGACTGATACTGTGTATATTTGCTCCAAAGTGTTTCATCATAATATTTCAGCCAGAGAAGAACTCCAAAAAACATTTAATGAACAAAATCTAATCCTAATCCATCAGAGGTTTGAAAACTAGCTGCAAACTTCACATCTGTAATATTTCATAATATAGATATAATTATTAAGGTATGTTTGGTTATTTTATTTTTATTTACTTCATATTTAGATGGAAGTGTTTAAATATTAATATATTCTGTAATGTATTTGTTTAAATCTTATTTTGATGTGTGTTTTTATTTACATTTTATCTGGCTTTACATTGAAAAAGTAAAATAACCATTTAAAACTACATTGTCTGTTTGTCATTACTTCAATATTTTTGGATGTCCCATTTATGTCAGTAACAAGGCCCAATCTGTTCATCCACCTATCACTCCATCCCATCTCCACTTGTGAGCAAGACTTGTAGAAACTTGGTCTTAGCCCAAAGGCATGAACAAAACCACATCATCTACATAAAGCAAAGATGAGATCTGGAGTTCCCTCCCCACAAAAAAATACTCTCTTTTCCACAACTGCACCTTGTGATACCATTTTTGACCACCACAAACAAAATCAGAGCCAAGGATGAAACTTGAACTTGGATGAAACCCTGATGGAATTCAACCCACACCAACAATGAGTCAACTGTGTGCCAACAATGTGAATGCAGGTCCTGCTGAAGTCTTAAGGGGACCAAATAGTCCTTAAAAACAACCCTGGCACCCCATGTTCCGCTTAAGCCCCCACAGAATGCTTGTATAAATAGTCATAAGCAGTGCTTAATTTGAGCCGGATCCTGCCAGGACAGGATCTAGGAGCTGTCTTATTTCGACAGGGTGCATTCCGATCACTGTTTGCTTGAATCCTGCAACTCTCAGGCTTACTAATAATAAATTTATGACAAAATATGACTGGCAAACAAATAAAGCTTGGATATGTAAACTGAAAATAATTACATAAACACTCATTTTAAACACAACAGCCACTTACAAGCATAAAGAGCTGCCCCTTCAAGTAGCATTACCATGTCTACACTTAAAAGAATCTCCATCCCTAAAAGAGTGGTGGGGGTGAGTGCCAAACGAGCTAACCAGGCAGTCGTTCGAGGGTATCAGCCCACAGTAAGCAGCCATGATCAGACAGAGGAGGCACCTGGAGGTTTCACATGTGGAGTCGGACAACAATGAGCAGCAGGGACAGTGTCTGACTCGGAACCATCAAGTAAAGTCATGAACATTTTCACAAGAGTAAAGATCATGTTAACACTTCTATGATCAGGACAATCGCCATACTACTCCTCATAAATCTGAGGGTTGACAATTGGTTGGAGCTTCCCTTCCCTCACCCTGGAATAAGCATTTCTGTGGAGGGTGAGAAGTGTGATCCTATGATAGTTAGAACATACTCTATTGCCTGGGAACCACCCTGGTCTGTCACCCAGTAAATGGTGCTTGGCTCCTGGGCTGTTGATTGCCTTGATCAGGTATTGAGCCTTATGCCTATTCATCATAGCTGCTATGATGCCTGATAGGCTGATTGGCTGATAGTGGTATGGAATTGTACTATCCAACTTTGGATCAAACCCTCTGGGTGGGTCCCTTTCATTAGAAGCTGGTTCATTTGTGCTGTTAGACGTTTGTGGAGCTCAGTCAGTTCTTTAGCTAGGTGTGAATCATGTCAGGTGCCAGCCAGCTCTTCATTCCTGTCCTGTTAACTCTGTATTGGGTTTCTGTCACTGTGCTGAGTACATATTCTTGTTCAGGGAGATGACTGTGGTCAGCTCTTAGATCTAATAACCACGGAGCCTGATTCACATGCTTCTCTAGTAATTCTCAGTCTCTGCTCTGGGAGGCTCTACTCTCATGTTGTTTCCCATCCATTGAGAGTAAACACTGGATAGTGTAATACCTCATTAGTTGCAAGTTGACAGCTGGCTTATTTCTTTCTTCTCCATGGAAATGACAATACTTCTTACCCATTGTAGGCTTGATCTTATAGCCAAGGTATCAGTGACAGTGTCAGGGATATTTAGCAATACTGCAGAAGGTACTTTGTCACTTATAGGTGCCTAGCTTGGCCACAGCTATCTTTTTATTCAGTTCCTTAGGAACAATCCAGTTTCTCTGAATGTTTCAGTGGGGCTTGGTACCCATGCTCTGATGGTGGGGATGATGGATGATCCCCTCCGACCTTTCATCTTGGCTCCCAATTGCCATAGCATCCTTGTTGTTGTACCTTGTAAATCTCAAGATGTGATAGCTAATTTATTTCTTAATGTGGAAATACTGGATCTGAAATTGTTTCAGAGTTAATATGGATGATAATTCCCACATCCTTCTCATATAGCCCCTCCTCTCTAGGCTTGCTTGCATAGCAGCATTCCAGCAGTGTTAAATGATCTGCCCTTGTCCATGCATGTCTTCTTCCAGTAGAATGTTTCTCATCAGAATCTCTGAGTATGGTGGCCCTGAGGTGTAAATGAACAATATTTGAAAAAACAGAATTACATTTGAAAAAACACAACAAAACAACTAAGACACAACAACATTTGAAAAAATTGAATTATATTTGAAAAACTGAATCATTCAAAAAGTATATAATTTTCCTATTTTCTAATGTAATTCCGTTTTTCAAATGCAATTCTGTTTTGTCTAATGTGATTGTTTTTTTTTCTATGTAATTCCGTTTTATCTAATATGACTCCGTTGTTTTCAAAAGTAATTCCGTTTTTTTCCTAATGTGATTCTGTTTTGTCTAATGTGATTCCGTTTTTTCAAATGTGATTCGATTTTTTTCTAATGTGATTCCATTTTTTTCTAATGTGAATCTGTTTTTTTTTTTTTTTTAAACGTGATTCTGTTTTTCAAATGCAATTCTGGCCATTTCCGTTTTGGCCACTTCTACGTTGCCCGCTTCCACTTTGGCTTGATGTAATTCTGTTTATTTTTTTCAAATATAATTCAGATTTTTCAAATGTAATTCAGTTTTTTCAACTATAATTCTGTTTTTTTCTAGGGTGATTCCATGTTTTCAAATGTGATTCCAGCCACTTCCGCTTTGGCCACTTCCGCTTTGGCCACTTCTGCTTTGGCCACTTCTGCTTTGGCTTAATGTAATTCCATTTTTTTCAAATGTAATTATTTTTCTTGAGTCTGCCGTCAGTCCCTCTTGTGGTGGCAGTATGAACCAGGAATAGGGGGAAACCAGGGCTCATCATCTGGCTCTGGATCCTCCCCTGATAGCCACTTGGGGAACTAAGGCGATGAGTGGGATGGTGGGGTAGTGAGATACTGGAGAAGAGTGAGGTGCTGAAAAGGAAAATGCTGGCTTGAAAGCTAGGTGACTTCCCGAAGTTGATCCCTCCTCTTCTCTTTCTCCACCAAAAGATGGGATGAAAGGATATCCACCTCTATGCTATGACATCTTCATCTCTAGGCAGGTTCGATCTGGAACCTGCTCTACCGGATGATGGACCGCACCTCCTCCTCTTCTCGCTCACGCTGGGTACTCCGAGTAGCTTATTGGGCCAAGTACTCTGACCATTTTATCTATCTGCAGGGTTCGTATTTGTCCATGTATTCTATCATGTTCTGCATATTTTTTTAACCCAAGGTGTAGACAGATGCGAGGAACTCAGGAATAAAATAAAGAAGAATATTTATTTAACAAAACAAAAGGCTGACGTGGTAGCAAAACTTACATTGATATAACCAGGAGCAGAGTGAAATGGAGGAAGACGACATGAATGCCTTGGGAGGACAAGCCACAGACAGGGAAGAAACAAACTGAAATAATTTATGGAGACACTAACGAGAAAATAATCATGAACACCTGGGACAGGACAATGAGGAACAGGTGAGAGAGGAAGGAGAAGGAGCTGATTACATGGGGGAAGAAACACTGCGGAAGGCAGGAACACAAACATATAAGTACAAAAATCTAAAGAATTACGTGACAGAACACAGTTCCTCTCAATAGACTGCTGTTGGTCAGAAAAAAGATTGCCTCACAGTTATTATTTCCAGATCTGTGCTATATTTTTATGTCATAATTAGAAACAGCAGATGTGACTAGCATATTGCTTAGGTTTAAAATGTTTCAGTTTGTACTTAACACAAAAAGGCAATTTAAGCAATTATATTCCATATTTTTGTACATTATCATACTGTGAAAACATATTCAATAATAGAGGTTAGATAGTACAATGTGTGTGTTTGCTTTAACAAGACACCGTCTGAGACGGAGTTAATTTATAGTTTACTATTGTATCTGTCAACAGTTTTTTTAAGGACAGGCTAGCCATTTTTACTGATGTAGCCCTCTCGCCAATTTATACACTCATCCATTTATACTCCCAATGTCATGTTTTCTAGTATTTTTTTTCTAGCTAATGTTCTAATTTTGCTTCTCAGTCATACAGGACACAATTCCAAAAGTAAAAAAAAAAAAAAGCATGTGAACTTCTATTCTGTAGATAGTTATTTTGTTTGTCTGGTTCATTGACCTCGGGACTCTTGTCTCTGCTTGTTGCAGATGTGGTCCTGTGATGTCATTGTGCTGTGATCTCCAGATCTCACTGGAGCAGTTTGCACTTGAGTGTAAAGTGGCTGGGATGAGGAAGTTTCAGTACTTCCAAATTTGAGGCCATGGTCCTCAGTTGGCAAAGCATGGACTGCCTTCTCCAGGTTGGGAGTGAGGTCCTGCTTCAAGTGGAAGAGTTTTGGTATCTTGGGATTTTGTTTATGAGTGAGGGAGGAATGGAGCATGAGATTGACAGACAGATCGATGCCACTTCTGCAATATTGTACTCTCAGACAGTTGTGGTGAAGAGGGAGCTGAGCTGAAAGGCAATGCCTACTGTTTACAGGTCGGTCTATGCTTCTCCACTCAGCTATGGTCATGTTTCCTGAATAGTAACCAAAAATTAAAAAAAATTGTGGATACAAGCATTCAAAATGAGTTTTCTCTGCATGTGCATGGTAGCCGGACTCTCCCTTAGAGACACGGTGAGAAGTTCAATTATCCAGGAGAAACTCAGAGTAAAGTTGCTGCTCCTCCACATAGA